GTTAATGTAAATATGTCTGAATTACCTAGTAAAAGAAAAAAAAATATTTCCAAATTGCCTATTAAAAGAAAATCCAAAGCTATACTTTTTCAGACATATACATAACACAAAATAGTTCAGTTAGGTTAGAATTTTTTAAATAAGGAAATATATATCAGGCAATTGCCAACAACAAGAAGAAGAGGGTTATATATAACCTTGATATTAGTGAGTAAAATTGAGAACAAAATGAATTTAAAAAGACCAAAAAAGCACAGTTTCTTTTTTCTAATGTCCAGTTAGCCAACATATAGTACATCATTAGTTTTTGATGTAGTGTTCAACGATTCACTAGTTGCATATAACACCCAGTGCTCATCACAACATGTGCCCTCCTCAATACCCATCGCCCAGATACCCCATCCCCCCACCCTCCTCCCTTCTGTAACCCTCAGTTTGTTTCCCGGAGTCCATCCAGAGTCTTTCATGGTTTGTCTCCCTCTCTGATTTCTTCCCCTTCAGTTTTCCCTCCCTTCCCCTATGGTCCTCCATGCTATTCCTTATGTTTCATGTATGAGTCAAGCAGAAAAAGCACAGTTTCTTATGCTGAAGGCTAAAATTCATAAGGAAGATGTGAGATAATACTTATACACCCAATCACACAGCAAAAGTATTCATAGAGCAAAAACTACATTAGATACAAGGAGAAACAGGAAGAAACACACTAATAAAGATGATTCTAACACACTTCCCTTAATCCAAAATGGTCAAGTGGAGAAATATTTAGTCATTATAGAGAAGAACTGAACAACATAATCCCAAGGACAGATCTTACAGATAGAGATTCTGAATTGTGAACCTTATTAGACAAGACACTTTTCAGAACATTGAACATTCATGAAAATTTATTCTATCAGAGACTGTTGAACAAATCTTGGGTCTAAATGGAAATAGAGATTAAAATTGCCTAATTTGATGAGGATAATGATAATGAAAATACAACATATCAGAATCTGGGTAAAGCAACTGTCAGAAGATATTTTGAAGCATTAGATACCTATATGAAGGGTGAAGAGTGGGCAGAATGGCTGAAGGGGGGTCAAAAGCTGCAAATGTCCATTTATAAAACAAGTCATTGGGATGTAACGTTCAGCCTGGTGATTATAGTTAGTAACACTGTATTGTATATTGGAAAGCTACTAAGAGAGTGGATCTTAAAAGCTCGCATCAGAAAAAAATTCTTTGTACCTACGTATCGTGACTGATGCTAACTAGGCTTATTGTGGTGATCATTTTGCAAAATATACAAATATAGAATTATTGTGGTGTACACCCAAAAACAACATAATGTTATATGTCAATTATACCTCAATAAAAAAAGAAATGAGTAGATGTGTTCAAAAGTTACAAGTTTCTAGTTATAATTTGGGAGATGTATTGCACAGCATTTTGACTATAGTTAACAATGCTGTAGCGTATATTTGAAAGTTGTTAAGAGAGCGTATCTTAAAAGTCATCACAAAAACAAAAATTGTAATTGTGTGAGGTGATGGATATTAACTAAACTTATTCTAGTAATCATTTTGCAATATATATATATAGTCATTATGTTGTACTCCTTAAACTTAACACGTTATCTTTCAATTATATCCCAATAAACTAGAGAAAATGAAACAAAACCTACATAAATAAAAATGAAAATAAATGAATTAACTGTTCAATTGAAAAAGCATGATAGGGGCGCCTGGGTGGCTCAGTTGTTAAGCATCTGCCTTCGGCTCAGGTCATGATCTCAGGGTCCTGGGATCGAGCCCTGCGTTGGGCTCCCTGCTCGGTGGGAAGCCTGCTTCTCCCTCTCCCACTCCCCCTGCTTGTGTTCCCTCTCTCACTGTCTCTCTCTCTGTCAAAAAATAAAATCTTTAAAAAAAAAACATGATAAAGGATCATAATTTAAACTATGAGAAAGAGAAGGGAAGAATACATAACGGTAAATAAATGGGTTAAGAAATAGTATTCCTGTTAAAGCTCAGAGTAGTCAGGACGTAAAAGAAGCAAAACTTGGCATTGTGAGTGATGCACCAAATACTGTGCTAGGATCTGGAGGGAGGGTTCCCTTTGAACGCCTCACAAAGCTTTTTTGACAGTAAAAATCAGGTTTTTCTGTGTATGTGTATGTACATTTGTGTGTCTGTGTTTCTGTTTGTGTATACATACTACAGAGATATACATTATTTATAGGCACAGTGTGCCCACATACACATTATATATATACACATGTTATATATTATATGTGTTTATATGAATGTATGTACATATACACAATGTTAAATTAAGAAGTTGGAGGATGAGGACACCTACTGTGTTTACGTGTGTGTATGTGTGTGTGCTTGTGTAATGTAAACATACAAAACAATACTATATTTTGTTCAGGGAAACTCTCATTTGGAGTAAAAGGACAAAGTAATGTGCGGGAATGATAATCATCTCATCTAGTTAGTGACTATCTCCAGGGAAGAAACAAGGAAATGTAAATATTTTTATAAACTGGGTTAATTTCCTAGTTCACTGTTTTTTTTGTTTGTTTGTTTTTAAAGATTTTATTTATTTATTTGAGAGAGAAAAAGAGAGCAGGGGGAGGGGCAGAGGGAGAAGCAGACTCCGCGCTGAGCAGGGAGCCCGACCCAAGGCTAGATCCCAGGACCCTGAGATTATGACCTGAGCTGAAGGCAGATGCTTAACCAACTTACTTCACTACGTTTTTTTATCAGATATTTCATAACTAGCAGAGTTTTTAGAGGATACACTTTTTTTTTTTTCGAGTACATGATTGCTAAGTTTAATTCAACGGTTACACCCAATCCTGCCTTGTAAAAACAACAAAATGCCCCTATCAAAACTACATTCTGATGTGAGTACAGGCTTCTTGTTTTTGATACAGCTCTAGAAAAAATTTGGCACCAAATGCACATAAAAAAAGTTTTAAGGCTTAATAAAAATACAGACTAATAATTTCAAAATGCAGCTTAGAGGTTGAGAACAGGATGCTGAGTTAATGAATTTCCAAATACAGGCAGTCCCCGATGTATAGAGCATTTTCCAAATATAAATGGCCACCTCCATCCAGCTCACAGGAGCAGAAAGTCCTCTCCTGCTTTTCCCAGTGACCAGACTACCAGGCACTCTAAACCCACTTTTACAGCCCCAGGGAGGGAAGGCTGGGGAGAGAAGGAAGGCAGGGCATCTGTCTGCACTGCACAGAGGCTCCTGCTACAGTTCTCCTTTGCCTGCATCCCCACCTCTGCTCCCCATCTCCACCCAATATCCCTGCTGATGGACAGAACTGGGTGGACAGCGAGGGCAGGGGTGAAGCCACAGGGCCCAGCAGTACAATGTCAGGGTTCCTGGCAATCCAATTTGGCATCCACGGATCATTTTCTTGCATACTAAAAACCACAACAAAACATAGTCATAAATGGAAGTTCACTTCTACCATGAGAACATTGCATTAAACAAAAGTTAGTGTGTTTGGGCTTAAACCCTAACTACCGTTTATGACATTTTTTAATGGGGAAAAAAATGCTCTGAATTCCAAACAATTTTCCTATAAGTGGCCATTTGAAGGGTGGACACAGGAAGTACTTGAGAGAGTCACATGGAAAGAGTTTCTTGCCTCCTGAGTGAACAGGGCAGTTGAAAGGGGGAAAACAAACAGTCTTTGGTTGACAAAGCCACGTGCAGGTCCCCCCAGTGTGCCAGGTGTAAGAGGCGGAGCTCAGCAGATAACTCCTGCAGGCACTTAAGTGTCTAGGCCACTGTGGGTATGATGAAACACAGCATTGTTGCTTTTCTAAATTTCAGTCATGATGCACGTATTTTTAGTACCTAGCATTGGCTTTGTAGGCTCTCACACCAAAATGTACCCCGACCTGAAGCCTGTCCTCTGTTAACTGTTGGTCCAACATGAGTGAGGTGCAGGGTCTGAGACTGAGCCCTGTAGGGCCAACCGGGAGAGACTCTGCCTGCCGGGACCGAAGCAACAGCGCTCTGGCCAGCCCGTTCTCTGTGCCGACAAGCATCATGGAATTGGCTAGTTGAGACTTCGATGTCAAACTACTTAATTTTCTGGGCCAATGTCTCCAGGTTTCTTCTGGAAACTGAGTATGGTCCAGAGGTTCTGCAAAGCTTTATAAAGAGCAGCTAAGCAAAGTTTCTTCCGCTTGGTTGTACCTGAGCAACTGACTTTTTCCTAGAAAGGTTGTCAGAAACAGGGCAGAGTCAACAGTCACTTATGTAAAGCTGGTATTTTAGAAAAGTTTTTTAGATATTATTAAAGATTCAAACTGAAGAACCCAAGGTTCTGAAGCATCTCTTCTTCCCACCGTCAACAGGAGTAAAGACGCATGAAGGATTTCAGTCACCCCATTACCTGGATGCATGTGGACAGTTCTACAGCTGCAGGAGCCGGGGGGGGGGAGGGGGAAGGGGGGGCTTGCCCACAGGAAGAACTGTGGTTTGACAAGGGAGCTGTCTGCATCCCTGGAGAAGGGCACAGGCCTAGACAGGAGGCCACTCAGGAAAAGAAGGAACAATTCATGGCAAAACCAGCCTGGGAATGAAAGGCAGAGATTCCTACGTTAAGATCTGGCCAAGCTTTTAGATGGCAGAAATGGAGCACCTCAGAGGATCAGGGCACAAAATCTTTCCATAAAGCATGAGACTGAGAATGACTTTTTGGTTTTTGTTGACAGCTGCCGAGGACAAGCAACTGAGGTGGCTCAGGAAGCATGCAGAGCACCACACTGGGGCTGACTGGAAAGGAGGCACCGGGGGCCCGCAGAGGCTGTCCCAGGGATGGAAACTGTCCCGTGGTGAATGGGGTGAGGACCTGCGGGGCCAGCCAGAGACCCCCAGTCCCCACCAGTAGTGTTTCAGCCTGTGCCTCACTCCTCTATCCCACAGCAACACACAGGTTGTTTCTTATTTTCTTGCCAAGGCTTTAAACTTAAACTCTGCTACTGTGTTCGTGATCCCCAGACCCCCAGTGGGCCAGCAGAGCGCTGGTGTGGCGAGGCTGTGGGCAGCCCCACGCCACCAGGCCTCAGTGTGGCCTCGCACCACCTGCCCCCATACCCCTCATTGAGTCCCGTCACATGCGCAGTTACAGTGAGTCCCGTTTTAGCCCCACCAAGACAGGTCTCCTGCAGTCTGGAGGTGAGGTCCCCCCGGCTCTGCGACGGCAGTGGGGCCTGAGCAGCGGCTTCAGATACACAGCAGACCCTCTCGGCACCCGGCTCCTTTGGGCTAAAAGAAACTATAGTATTTGAAATCCTATCTCTCCGGGTTCTTGTCTGGCTACAGGCGAAGCAGCAGCCCCTCTTAGTAGAAGGAGATACTGGATTTGCCTCCAGGCGGGTTGAGGACTTCGTTATGAGAGCGTGGCCTCGGGCCCAACCTGGGCTCATGGCTGTCCCCCGCGGGCATGGGCACTGGCTGCTGGGCGCGGCCCGCTTCTCCAGGGCCTCCCTTCTCACCGGGCTCTTCTCTGGGCGACGAGCTCGTTGCGGCTTTCGGGGCCGATTTTGGGTCTTCTCCCTCACACAAGAACACGTGGTCCTTGGGTTTGTTTGGGTGTGCCAAAGGTGAAGTGGCAGCAACTGGGGACCCAAAAATGTCACTGGTCTTCCCGCCAGGTGGGTTCAGATGCTGTCGAGTCTGCACAGGCGTGGATTCGTCAGATACCGCTTCCTTTCCCCCCTGGAGGATTGGTCCTTTTAGGGATGTTCTGAGGCTCTTCGGTTGGTCCAAAAATATTAGATGCCATCCTATTGGGCCTGCTTGACGGAGCAGCTTCTTCTGGACTTCCAAAAAGATTGCTGGCCTCTCCTCCCGGGGGCTTCATGGCCCTGGAGCCCGCCCGGCCGCCGTCTCTCTCCGGGGCCTGGAACATCGAGGATACACTTTTTTATCATAAATCCAATTCATACTAATTTTAACAAATGTTTACCATTGAGCCAAGTGAGGAGGTTAAATATAAATAACTAGCAACCCTATCATCACTGAAATTCACATTATGTTATATCACTGTATCGGTTTTATGTTAATGTATATACACACGTGTACTATATGAATTACATATATGATTCATATAGTATTATTAGACCATATGTACAAATTAGTACCCTGTAATTTTTGTTATTTTTGGTTTTTCTTTTATCTTAAGTACTAACAAGCAGATGAATCTTTCTGATTCTATGACAGGGATGAGATATGATCAAACTTTGCTTTTTAACAAACCCTTTACCAGCTGACCCAACCGCAATTCTTGATCAATGCATCTGATTGGAAATGCCATGCCTGTACCATAGGAAATAATGTTACATGTTTGGGTCTGCTCATGAGCTCTCTATAGACTTCCTTTTATCTGTATGTCAACCACTCTATCCAAAATTTATAAAATTATAGGTTTATTGAACACCGTATTACCTGGCAAAGTATATCTCACTCCTATAACCACGCTTTGGTTAGATGGTAGGAATATTGTTACTAATACTAGTAATAAACAATAATAAAAGACACCAAAGATTACAGGGCATATAGGAAATAAATTGCTTGCTCTTGACCATGCAGCCAGCAAGTAATACTTCCAGTGTCAAATCCTGATCCTTCTAACCCCAAAGTGAATGCCCCTAACCACCATTTTCAAGTGAGTGTTCTGTGTCAGGCCACATACCAACAAAGGGGAGGGATTCACCTAAGGTCTTGTGGTCAGTTAAAAGGTCTGACCACTGAGATACAGGTTTGATGACTCTCATCTTCTGTCTTATTCTTTGTGGGTTTTTTGGTACTGTTTCTTTCTGAGGCTCAATAAGAAATTGCTTTGGGCGCCTGGGTGGCTCAGTTGGTTAAGCGACTGCCTTTGGCTCAGGTCATGATCCTGGAGTCCCGGGATCGAGTCCCGCATCCGGCTCCCTG